CTATTGTCTACCTCTTTCATTTCATCATAATGCTTTTTCTATAATATGTGCCTGTGAGCAAAGCTTTTATATGGTGAGTAAGTAGGAGTTAGTGCTGAGAAGGCACTTTTTTCCACATCAGCAAAAATTAGAAAAAACAGAGTTTATTAATAAAGCCAGCCATCAGACCCTTTCTGGAGTACAGATCTTAAATGTCTGGCATCGGAATGCATTTCCCCATCCTTACAGACCAGAACCCTCATTCTTAGTTCCTCTTTGCTTAAATACCTTCTTGGTTTCCGTGGCAACCATGATGGAATGCCATGGTTGTTGACTTAAGAAGTCTGAGATTCTTCTTTGTAATTTTCTTTTTCTCTTATCTCTTTTATGTTTACAATATCTCATCAAGTGTGGACAGGATTAAAGGAGTGGTAGCATCTTACCAAGGATGGAGAAGGAGCGAAGGAATTCCAGTGTCTTACAATGGGTGCATGAAAGGCTAAACCAGAGCTTCTTTTTCTAGGACAAAATTAACCCATTGAGAGAGCCACCATCCCCTACAGTGCCACATAATTTCCTACATGAGAACTGTAGGAAAAACAGGGACAGGATTACAACCTTAAAAGGAAAAGGAGGAAACCCTCAATTTGGCCACTGAGCAGGAAGTGTGAGCCTTTGTTTTTTAAGGAAGTGAGAAATGTGTACTTTCTCCCCATTCTGACCTCCAGAGAGGCCTCAGCCACATGAAGGTGCAGTTCCTACAGGCCAGCATCTCCAGTATCTTGTTTAATGTTCTTTCTCCTGCATTTTAAATATCTAAAGAGGTTATCATTAAAAATTAAAGTGGTCATGTGTTCTTTCCCATAAGCTCTTTTTCCACAGATTCCTTCCCTATCTTCAAGTGATGTATTGCATAGCTTAAAATTTGTTGGGCAAACTGTATTAAACCTTAGTTATCTATGTTCTTACCTTAGTTTAGCCATAAGATTGTCCAGGTTGTACACTGCTAAACCCTAAGGTACTTTACTCTCAAAAACTGTAAGGAACTTGATGCCCAGTGGATTTTCATGATATCTATTAATAATTGCATATAAAATTATGTGATTTAAAAAAAATAGTATTTTGAACCTTTTTGCTCAAATACCAAATTGTAGAATGCTCTCAAATCTAGCTGCCTCTGTAGTATAATATCTGAAAACCTGGACTCAGGAGAGGGCTGTACTTCTTCAGTCTTTCTCCTGGCTTCTATTGTTACCAGGACGATGGTTTCTGAAATTCTCTTCAGTGTGGTGACTTAGCCTTCTTTCTGTTGCAAGCCTCTGCCAGGGCTGAGAGTTCAGCTAAATATTTCAGACTTGTAAGAAGTGGCCTTTGTAGCCCCAACGTGTTCAACTGTGTGCAGTAGTGGTGGGTACGTGTCTTCACTTCCCATCTCATTGAGGCAGAGGCCTGCTGCATCCCATTCTGCAGTAGCTGAAGAGTGAGGGGAAGAGGCCACAGAAGGTAGGGTGTTAGCTGCACCCATAGATGATGATGCTAGGAATAGGACCTAGCCACTCTTACCCTAGCCTATGAGCAGTTAGGGCGCAGGTCCTACACATCTGCTTATAAGCTAAACTATGTGGCTTGTGGCTACTGTATTATGGTTCCTTTGCAGGTCTTCCAGCCCAGCTGTGGTTCCCACCAGGCAGGCACCTTATTTTTACTGTAAGCAATGATGCCTCAAAATGGCTAAAATTCTCACATTATAAGTTCTGGGCAAAGAGCTAAGGTGAGCCCAAGATTATAAGGTCACCTCGTCATCTGTATTGCAGGTATAGAGCAACTTTTCTGGTTTTTATTTTTCCAGAAAAAGTACTTTCCTATCTTTTTCAATTCTTTTGATTTCATTATGGATTAAAACTACTAAGGTTTTATTTTTGTATTTTAGGGCAAGGTCTACAGGGTGTTCAGGGTCTCACTACTAGACCACACTAGCAATCTGCTTATTTACAGCCTCCCAAGAGCTGGGATTGCAGGCATACGCCACCACGCCCGGTCTCAATTGCCTTCTCAGCGTGCCCCCAGGGGCAGGGCCATAACAGCAGGCCTGGGTATGGAATCCTGGCCCATGCACCTGCTTATAGGCACTTTAATCTGCTGAGCTAAAACTGCTAAGGTTTTAAATGTGTATGCATTTTAATCAATGTGTCATATTTGTGTTTATGTCATTTTAGATTTCAGGGGACAGTAACTATAGGTGTTTGCCTTCAATTAACTGTATTTAATAAAGCATTCATTCAACTAGTTGGTAAATAAGTACTAAATTTGTAGGTTTTACACTATATAATTCCAATTAAAAGTTGGTGCAGTAGGGCCACATACATAGCTCAAGTATGTGGCTAGCATGCCAGTGGCTTGGGTTCAGTCTTTAGTGGCAGTGTAAGTAAGTAAGTAATATAGTTTCCCTGGAAAAGGAAAGTGCAGTATGACAGAGACAAAAAGTCACCTTCCCACAAACTACAAAAAAGACATAGTCTGAGGTTATGAGTTTTCTATGGAGTGTATTTATATGTGGGTGAGTAAACAGGAAGTCTGTGTATTCATGTGAGTATGGCGGTGCACTGTGTTTTCACATACTTCTATTAGTAAATACATATATGAAGGCTGTCTCAGCTACTCTTCTCTCATTGCTGGGACAGATACCTGACACCCAAAAGGAAGGAAAGAAAGGTTTATTTAGTTCACAGTTCCTGGAAGTTGCAGTCTGTGCTTGGCTGGATCCAGGGCAAAGCAGCACTCTGCAGAGAGTGTCTTTCAAGGTGGCCAAGAGCAGAG